CCTCTCCCTTTGGTGCCTAAGAATTGCACAAAATCTGCACTCTATTCTACTAAAATCTGCTCTACAATTCTCCTCCCATTCTCTTTGCATTACCTTCAATTTATAGAGGAAGGAAAGCAACTAAAGCATCAACATAATCATCATCTTCACATGTTGGCAGCTGCACACATGGTGCTGCCCATTCATCTTTTAGCATGGAGGTCTGGCTCTTTATTTGCTGCCAACCCATATGCTGCTGTCTAAAGTTGCTGACTGTTAAAGTTCTTTTGCTGCTGCACATGTGTTGCTGGAAAAACGAATTATTCTGCACCAGGCTTGGTGTAGGAAGGCCTGAGGTTTCAATATGTATCCAATGGGGCTCAAATTTGGATATGTTATAATAGACACCCATTGGAACAACTTTCATGAAGAATGCATTCCCATCCGAGCAGTACAAATGTGTGTTTTGGGGCTTGCAAGCTGACTGCCGAAAATGGACTGGAGTTTGGGCTTCATTTCTTTTCTCTCCTTGGGCTGCTTGCAAAGAGAGAGCTACCTAATAGAAAATTCAACTAAATTAGCCTTTATTTCAATGAAGTGCCAATGGATTTGTAAAATGCAATGTAACATTCTAATTGGTTCAAAATTCGTTGAAACAAAGTACTAACAAATATAGATTAGGGATATAAATTGTAATAATTATGTGTTTATCACCCGAGTAGCTATTTTGGCAATTCAAAACATAGCTCAACCATAGATATTTAATCAAAATCCTGACCCACGGCCTAAAAAGTGAGTGTACATAATTTAAGAAAGTTTCTAGGCCCATTATCAACATTCTAACACGTGGAATGGTCTGAAGAGACCCGAGGTTCAACAAGCGATTAATTTCCCATAATGGTCAACCCGGTACCCCGTGGGGTCCACGACCTCCGATTACCAATCCAAGAGTTCCTATAGGTTCAACACACTTTACTAAACATGCCCCAGATTGCTCATGATCGCACGATCAGACGGTTATCATTTATCTAAATTTTGAATTATTGAATCGGAGTATCTGAGACTTCGATTCTCGATCCGCAAATTCCTACAGGATCCTAGAGGTGTCTAGATCAACATATTTGAAAATGAAGTCGATCCAACGGCCCAAACATATCGAACCCGGACAACGCCTAATATATGATATCCGATCGACAATCAAACGGTAACCAAATTGAAATCCGAGCATACCGTCGTGCTCGGGACAACGTGGGGAACATTCTAGGACAAAAATCCAACCTTAACACCCCGCTGACGCACAGCCACACACCGCCACTGCCAGCGGGTGTGTAGAGCAATTTTTCTAGTATATTCAAAATCCCTACGTAAACTTTGTAATTTTACACTTCTCACCTGTTTGTCTCCATGAAATTCACTCATCAAGAGATTCCAGGCTCCCTTTGATGTTTCTTCATGAGCGATCCTCGGAAAAATTTCCCCAGAGACTGCTCCCTGGATCAGCCCAAGAGCTTTAGCATCTTTCATCAATACCTCCGTGAGAGATATCTTCTCTGCCTCACTTGATTCCTCCTTGTCCTTCTTCTTTTTATCAGATTCATCGGCTCCCTTCAAAACTGAGTTCTGTACACCTTTTTCAACCAGATCCCACAATCCATGAGATCTGAAAATAGTTTTCATCCTTATACTCCAGAACTCATAGTTCTCGCCATTGAAGATCGGTGCTCGTAGCTCACCACCGCTTGATCCAACCATATTAGACACAGATCGCAAGATTCCAAGCTCAACGTCAAGAACTTCAGCTCACGTAACTCACAGATTCAAGAACGCCCAGTAGAAGACAATCGAACCTGGCTCTGATACCATGTTGAAGTTTTCAGACTATGATCTGATTAGGTTTTGGATCATAACTTCTTCGTTATAACTCCGATTTGAGCCTACTACGTGTCTACAGATTTATCTCGACGTGCTCTACGCAACGTTACAACTAAAATTCCCAAATTTCTTCCTGAACAAAAAGTCAACTTTTAAACTATTAAAATATTCCCGAAATAAAATTATCTTTTACTTGAATAAATTAATAATTAAATAATAATTTAGGATCAGGTTCTTACATACCCTAAAGGGTGTCAATTTTCCCCCTAAATTATACCATAATTGTCAATTTTCCCTTTGAACAATGTTTTCAATAAATTAAGGATTTAAACTATATGAAATTAGCCAATTAGGGACTCGCCGTTAATTTTTCAAATGTCCATCCACCAATATTAATGGAAAATTTGTAATATTAAATAAAAAAATACCACCTTATTAAATAATAATAAAAAGGTCAAAAACAGAATTTTAAAAAGAGAAAATAACAACAACAAAAAAATTTCTGGTGAAATGAATTTGCAGAACGAAATTGGAGCTAAGCCTGGGCAGGGCTCGGTGTCACCTGGGCCTCACTTGGCGGACTGAATAGTGGTGGTGCCGTCCAAGCCGTCGGCATTAGAAAAGCCGGCGAGTTGGGAGTTGGGTCTGGCTGAGGTGGGGTTTGAATTGAGGTCGACGGAGGAGATGGGGTTTGAATTGGGATCGGTGGAGGAGGTGGGCTTCAAATTGAGGTTGGTTTGAACTGGAATTGGGGTTGGAGAAGATGAGAGAGGGAGAAGAGAGAGTGGCAAGGTCTGAATGGGCGGAGCATTTATGGATTTTCTGGAGGCCATGGTGCAAAACCCCAATAGCCACAAACAATATGACTACGAAAATGAAGATCCTTGTTGATTTTCCCACACAACACGTTTTTGTATTTCCTTTTCTGGGTTCTGCCGTAGAGTCTGAGAGATGAACAGAGAGAATGGTGGGTTCTGTTCTGCCCAGGCACAGCACCACCCCCATCACCAAACCCAGGCATAGCACTACCCCGTTACCAAACCATTCGAAGGAACTTTTTCTACCCTTTTTTGACTTTCTTTTCTTTTAATTTTTTGTTTATATAAAAATTTTCTTCTAATTTTTCTTACATTTTTTAACTTAAAAACTGGCCATGCAGGTCACGTGATTAAAATTTGGATGGACATTCGAAAAATTAAGAGCGAGTCCCAAATTGGCCAATTTCATATAGTTTAAGTTCTTAATTTACCGAAAAAATTGTTTAAGGGGAAAATTGACAATTATGGTATAGTTCAAGGGGCAAAAGGACAGTTTAGCCTAATTTATTTGAGGGATCTTAAAGGAAATAAATATTTTATTGCAAGTACAGATCGTTTGGACCATGTTGCTTGCTCGATTTATTTGAGTCACCATATTCCGTGATCAATATGTTTGCAGGTTGCAACAACGGCGGATTCTTTGTGTTCTACGCCTTCAACACATATTCCTCTCTGAAGAACGAGAAAGTACCAAATGAATGCAGAAGAACAAGCAGGTGATCTTGAGTCACCCTTGATTCCATTTGCAGATCAAGAACATGACTATCAAGCAAGAAAAGGACAACAGCTGACCCGAGATGAGTTTTTCGTGGAAGTGAAGAAGCAGCTGTTGTTAGTAGGGCCTCTTGTGTCATCAAATTTCTTGTTGTTTTGTATACAGGTTGTTTCAGTCATGTATGTTGGTCATCTCGGAGAACTTGCACTTTCAGGTGCTTCCATGGCCACTTCATTTGCTTCAGTAACTGGTATCAGCTTGATGGTAAGATGGCTTTTCCTATTATCAAAAAATAATATACACACATATATTATATATCTATATAGTGTGTGTGCGTGTGATGTTTGAATTGTAATGCTTATGTTGTGTTCGATAATAATCCTAGTCTTCATTTTCGTCTTATTAATTTGCGGATTAGATTGGAATGGGAAGCGCATTGGACACATTTTGTGGCCAGTCCTATGGAGCAAAACAATATCATATGCTTGGTATACATATGCAGAGGGCAATGATTGTTCTTTTGCTGGTCAGCATTCCTCTTGCAGTTGTATGGGCCAATACAGGCTTCATTCTTGAATTTTTGGGTCAAGATCCAGAAATATCTGCTGCTGCTGGGGAATTTGCTTGTTACATGATACCAAGCCTTTTCGCTTACGCAATCCTTCAATGTCATTCTAGATTCTTGCAAACTCAGACCAATGTGGTTCCCATGATTGTTACCACAGGAACTGCAACTCTGCTACACTTGCTTATCTGTTGGCTTCTGGTATACAAGACCAGCCTTGGATATAAAGGTGCGGCTGTGGCAAACTGCATCGCATATTGGATCAATGCATTGTTATTGTTTCTTTATGTCAGATTCTCTCCCTCTTGTAAGCACACATGGACTGGATTCTCAAAGGAGGCCTTTCATGGAATTCTCAGTTTTCTTAAACTATCCATTCCTTCAGCTGTAATGATCAGGTAACCTTTTGAGATTTAAAATGAAATAAGAAATGTGGTCATTCGAAATTTCACAATGTGAACTTTACTATCGTTGGTTGATGGTTTTATGTCTCTGTGAACAGCTTAGAAATGTGGTGCTTTGAAATGATGGTCCTCTTATCTGGTCTTCTTCCTAATCCAAAGCTTGAAACCTCAGTCCTGTCAATCAGGTTTTCGTTTGACCTTAAGCAATGACAATAGAACAGTATCAATTCTAAGAGCTGTTATTGACACTCAAAACAGTCATCGTGCACTCTCCCCCCGGTGCAATTTCAAATGAGCCCAGTGTTATTTTGAAATGCCAATGACAGCTCCCAAAATTTTCATTGCTAAGTAATAAAAACTGAAGGAGAAACACTGATTACTAACCGATTGTGACATATTCACACAGCCTTAACACATGTGCACTGACTTACATGATCCCCCTCGGACTGGGTGGTGCAGCAAGGTGAGTTTACGGCTACATTAAGTTTCATATTTGTCTTTATTTTGCATATTTTCTAAACAATCCTTTTCTATTCTTCTATTATTTTCTGTTAGCACAAGAGTTTCAAATGAATTGGGTGCTGGGAAACCACAACTAGCCCATCTTTCCGTATGTGTTACACTCTCCATGGTTGTTACTGAAGGCATTGTGGTTGTTGCTGTCATGATATTGGGTCGAAAAGTTTGGGGCTACTGTTACACCTCTGATAAAGAAGTTGTGGAATATGTTGGAGAAATATTACTGTGGGTTGCAATAGCCCACTTCTTTGATGGAATTCAATCTGTTCTTTCAGGTCTCTGACATTTTTCTTCAAATACTTCTTCCATCACAGTATAATTTCTCATTTGAATCTGGGTTTGCAAACCTTTTGTGTAATAGGCATTCGAAAAAAAAAATTCATGTCAGGGCATCCTCTGTGAAAGATTGAAATAACTTTATTAGTTGCTTGTCATCTTATAATTGATTGATTGACAAAATGTTACTTCCAATTACAATTTCAGGTGTCATAAGAGGAAGTGGGCAGCAAAAGATTGGGGCTTATGTTAATCTTGGAGCTTATTATCTTATAGGCATTCCTATCTCAATTATATTAGCTTTTGTCCTGCACATTGGAGGGAAGGTAACCGGATGTTTCTCCCCTGCTCATTTATTTATTCAAATTTATATTCCACATTCTTAATCTTCCATAGAAATATATATATATATATATATATATATTTTTAGGATTATACTTTGGCATATTAATTTCAAGTCAACATGTTCTTCACAGGGTCTTTGGATTGGAATTACTGTGGCTCTGTTTGTGCAAGCAGTATCACTTTCAATCATAGTCACATGCACTAACTGGGAAAAAGAAGTAAAGTGCCTTGCCATGTTCTGTTTCATGTATGAATCAATGCTACATTCATCTCATACTCCTTTTTCATGCCTTCTGTAGGTGAAGAAAGCTTCAGATAGAGTGCACAAGACAATGGCTGTGACGGATGCAGTATCGTAAAATAGATGCAGAAGTCCTGATCATATCTGGATTGGGTCCTTAAGAGAAAAGAAAGAACGGAGTAATTAATGAAGGATCTAGCCCTTATTTGTGTGCCTAATGATGTCCTCGGTGGAAGACATTTCAAGCCGTATCAGAAGCCGAAGGCGACGAATCTCAAATTACTAAACATTTGATTTGTATGGCTTGGTTGCCAGTTTTGGCATCCTCAGAATTTCCCAAACCTAGTGTTGTTGCATTTTCAAGAGTTTAGACAGGGTATAGTACTCTGTAATTACTTCGGGAAGAAAGAAACAAAATGAGGTCTTTTTTTTGTCAAAGAACAGCAGGTGTTTCCAGTCTATTAAAAATTGTGTGAGTTCTTACAAGAGTTAGAATACCACCTCCCACCCAAGAGTCCAATTTCTTCAAAATCAAAATTTGAATTACTGATTTTGTGTAGACCCTACTTATATTTTCATTTCTTTATGTGGAGTAAACACCGGAGTAATATGTACACTCCATATTTTGATTCCGATTACGGATTAATAAACATGTCATTAATTCATTTTCAATTAGTTTTGAGTTGGATGCTTACATTCTGATATAGCATTCGAACATGCTATTCACGTGTTGGTCCTACATCCATTGCCAATTGATTTTGTGTTACGGGCTCACATTTAAATACTCCCAACATCTCTAACCTCATTCTTCAAGTCTTAATATTCATATGCGTTCTTCACTAACCTATTTGGCTCTTTTATGTATACTTTTTCTACCGCCACAGTTTGTTACTCCTCCAACCCATTTGAAACTTCTTTTTTTCATCACTCATCTGTGCCTTTTTATTTTACCCTTTTTCTTGTACTAGTGGTTTCCAAATGTAAGTTACCAAAAAAGTTAAAAAACAAATCAATATCAACTTAAAATATTTAAAAAATAGAAATTTATTTATTTATGACAAACTTTTCAAATGCATAAAAATCTTGGAAATGACAAAAGAGCTAGCTGTAGAGCTCCATATGGATGCAGAAACTGTTCATATTCCAATGCACATTGAATATTGATGCACGCGTGCATGTAAAATCCGAATTATTCAATGGAGAGGTACGTTAACCGAAGGGGCTTTGGCTAATCAGATATGGCAAATTCCAATTAGTAGTATAGCTTTGGAGCAAAATCAATTTCGACTGCAAAAACTGTTCATAATGTCGTTCTTCCAGTTTGTTGAAGTTGCATCAGCAATAATTGCCCCAGTTGCCACTGTTGTTACCGTAGTTTTACCGGTAACTGCCCCGGTTGTCGCTCCCGTTGCCGCGGTTGCTGGAGCTGTTGTGGGTGCTGGGGTTGTTGTTAATAATGTAGCCAAATTGCTAGGGCAGAAGTGAAGTCGTTTAACTTTTTTTTATGGGGTTTTGGGAATAGTACGTTGTCTTTAATTTTCTGTCATGTTAGTATATGTACGTTGTCTTTAATCTTTATTATGAAATGGTAATCTTATGAAGGTTTGTTTGCCCGTCTTTTGCTCTTAATAGATTGTTTTGTTTGCTTAGCTAGTTGTAACTTGGTTATCTCCTTGCAGAAACCAATTCAGATAATTTACTTGTGGATGTGTCTTTGAACATTTCTCATAAGCGCATCGTATCTCTTGAAGCCCTTCCAATTAGAACTATGAATAAACAAGGGTTCCTCCAGTCTTTCCAACCATTGCATGCAGCAAAGTAATATTTCAAAGCCTATACATGCAGCGACATCCAGCTGAAACAGTAAACACTTTGCTATAAACAATTAATACGTACTGGAAATGGGTTGGTTTCGGATTTTCAAGAAGATTGTTGCAGCCGCGCTTTTTGCTCTTACAAGATTGATGGTTCGCTAATGGCTCATTTTAGAATGTGTGGATGATAATAAAGATGTCAATGTTCAAAACTCATAAAAAATGACAGCATCCAGAAACAAAAGAAAGAACGGAGTAATTAATGAAGGATCTAGCCCTTATTTGTGTGCCTAATGATGTCCTCGGTGGAAGACATTTCAAGCCGTATCAGAAGCCGAAGGCGACGAATCTCAAATTACTAAACATTTGATTTGTATGGCTTGGTTGCCAGTTTTGGCATCCTCAGAATTTCCCAAACCTAGTGTTGTTGCATTTTCAAGAGTTTAGACAGGGTATAGTACTCTGTAATTACTTCGGGAAGAAAGAAACAAAATGAGGTCTTTTTTTTGTCAAAGAACAGCAGGTGTTTCCAGTCTATTAAAAATTGTGTGAGTTCTTACAAGAGTTAGAATACCACCTCCCACCCAAGAGTCCAATTTCTTCAAAATCAAAATTTGAATTACTGATTTTGTGTAGACCCTACTTATATTTTCATTTCTTTATGTGGAGTAAACACCGGAGTAATATGTACACTCCATATTTTGATTCCGATTACGGATTAATAAACATGTCATTAATTCATTTTCAATTAGTTTTGAGTTGGATGCTTACATTCTGATATAGCATTCGAACATGCTATTCACGTGTTGGTCCTACATCCATTGCCAATTGATTTTGTGTTACGGGCTCACATTTAAATACTCCCAACATCTCTAACCTCATTCTTCAAGTCTTAATATTCATATGCGTTCTTCACTAACCTATTTGGCTCTTTTATGTATACTTTTTCTACCGCCACAGTTTGTTACTCCTCCAACCCATTTGAAACTTCTTTTTTTCATCACTCATCTGTGCCTTTTTATTTTACCCTTTTTCTTGTACTAGTGGTTTCCAAATGTAAGTTACCAAAAAAGTTCAAAAACAAATCAATATCAACTTAAAATATTTAAAAAATAGAAATTTATTTATTTATGACAAACTTTTCAAATGCATAAAAATCTTGGAAATGACAAAAGAGCTAGCTGTAGAGCTCCATATGGATGCAGAAACTGTTCATATTCCAATGCACATTGAATATTGATGCACGCGTGCATGTAAAATCCGAATTATTCAATGGAGAGGTACGTTAACCGAAGGGGCTTTGGCTAATCAGATATGGCAAATTCCAATTAGTAGTATAGCTTTGGAGCAAAATCAATTTCGACTGCAAAAACTGTTCATAATGTCGTTCTTCCAGTTTGTTGAAGTTGCATCAGCAATAATTGCCCCAGTTGCCACTGTTGTTACCGTAGTTTTACCGGTAACTGCCCCGGTTGTCGCTCCCGTTGCCGCGGTTGCTGGAGCTGTTGTGGGTGCTGGGGTTGTTGTTAATAATGTAGCCAAATTGCTAGGGCAGAAGTGAAGTCGTTTAACTTTTTTTTATGGGGTTTTGGGAATAGTACGTTGTCTTTAATTTTCTGTCATGTTAGTATATGTACGTTGTCTTTAATCTTTATTATGAAATGGTAATCTTATGAAGGTTTGTTTGCCCGTCTTTTGCTCTTAATAGATTGTTTTGTTTGCTTAGCTAGTTGTAACTTGGTTATCTCCTTGCAGAAACCAATTCAGATAATTTACTTGTGGATGTGTCTTTGAACATTTCTCATAAGCGCATCGTATCTCTTGAAGCCCTTCCAATTAGAACTATGAATAAACAAGGGTTCCTCCAGTCTTTCCAACCATTGCATGCAGCAAAGTAATATTTCAAAGCCTATACATGCAGCGACATCAATTAATACGTACTGGAAATGGGTTGGTTTCGGATTTTCAAGAAGATTGTTGCAGCCGCGCTTTTTGCTCTTACAAGATTGATGGTTCGCTAATGGCTCATTTTAGAATGTGTGGATGATAATAAAGATGTCAATGTTCAAAACTCATAAAAAATGACAGCATCCAGAAATTCTACGAATGCAGAAGAATGCTTGCGTTTATGCATCGAGAATGTTGCTCTTCTTTTTATTTTTAGTAAATTGAGCTTAGACCCATAAAATTCATTTTAAATCACCTACAACTCTTGTTTTTAGTTTTCTATTTAAAATACCCAATTTTTTCAAATAATACCCGATGACTAGAATCCAACTAAGCAAGTTACCTATCTAATATAACTTAAAATATGATTTATTGTATTTTTAGGATTCCAAAACTACCCTTATTTATAAGTTAATGTGTTAAAAGGGGGGGGGTGTAACTATTGACACACGTTGAATTTGGAAAGATCTTCAAATAATTGTAATGGATGTAGGAATGAATTTAGAAACTTATTTGAAATTACATATTAAAGTATTAGTAATCTATTTTTGAATTAATGTTGTTTTCCTTTTATGAATTATACGACTAGTATTCTATTTTATTATAGTTTAATGAATAATAGTGTACATTCTAATTATGTTGAAAAATAATTTGATAATCTATTTATTATTATTTTTTTGAAAAACATTTTTTTAATGAACCTATTTTTTCTCTAAATAAAGCACCTATTACTTGTTTTATCAAAAATAATTTGATCATCTTTTTATTGTTTGTTTTATGAAAACAATTTTTTTTAAATGAACCTATTTTTTTTCTCTCCAAATAATGTACATTTTTTTTTCTCTAACAATGTACCTAGTAAAACAATTTACCTAGTATAATGAACTTATTTTTTTCTTCTAAATTGTAATTTGCTTCAATATAAAGGACTTGAATAAAAAATTCTTATAAACAATTACTTAAAATACCGAATTCCACATTAACTGAACGAAGAAAAAAAAAATTGTTATTCAACCCAATATGCAATTGGGATGAGGAAACGTTCATGAATCAAGGCCCAAGATATTGAATATGATCATTGTGGCGCCAGCCTAGGTGTTATCAGTAATTGGAGGCACTATTTTCATTATGCCTCCAGCCTTGGTATTACAAAAGTTGTCACCTGTAGTCAGAAACTGTTCATATTCCAATGTCCATTGATGCCTTAGAAGAAATAAACGACTTTAATCGAGGTGCAATAACCGAAGAGAAAATTTTGTCTAATTAATCCGAAGCCCTTCCAATTAGAAGTATAAATAAACAAGTGTCCTCAAGTCCTTCCAACCATTGCACATGCAGCAAAGTAATATTTCAAATCTTAATACGTACTGGAAATGGGTTGGTTTTGGATTTTCAAGAAGATTGTTGCAGCCGTGCCTTTTGTGCTGCCAATAATATTGTCAGCATTTTCGGTACCAGCTGCTGCCCCTCTTGCTTCGGCTGTTGATGCTGTTTCTTCTGTCGCAAATGTGGTGCTGCAGCTGATGTAAGGGGATGAATGTAGGTTCTCGATTTGCCTTGTGTACTGGGATTAATATATGTTTTGCTTATCCTCAGGGAGTTGAGTATGTAATCGTGTGGTGGTCTTTATTATTAAGTTTTATTATGAAATAGTATTATCTATTTTTACTTCGCTTTTCTCTTACAAGATTGATGGTTTGCTAATGGCTCACTTTAGAATGTGCG